CGTAATTGGTGGCCAGCTAAGAAGGTTCACTGGTTTGCTTTGCACACAGATAATTGGCCAGTCGCTTCACAAAGCACTTTGAGAGTGTGTGCTATGCTAGCTAGCCGAACTAATGAGCACTGCTCTGTGTGTGTGTGTGTGTGTGTGTGTGTGCGTGCATGAGTGAGAGTGAACTTACATTTTTCTGTCAGATTTTACTTTCAAGCATGTGTTTTTATCTGCAGAGGAGCTTCACTTGTAGTATTTTTTGACTTGCACCTGAAGACACCACAGGCGTATTACAAAAGAAAAAAAACCTGAAGCCCTCGACTTGAACTCATCACTCTTCATCATGCTTCCCCTCGTCATCAATCTTTTAAACTGCCTCTCCCTCATCTGCTATCACTTCACTCTCTTCCTCTATCGTCCCGTGTAACTTCAGGCTCTTACCTGCCCTCCATCTTAACTGCTCATGTGAGTGGTTTAAACAAGAGCTGAGCTATATCCCGAAGGACTTGGGCCAAATTGCATTTTTAAACATGGTGAGGAGGGTGTGTGCTCCTCAAAACCATCCACAAAGACAGGTTGGCAAACAAAGAGTGTAAATCAGGGGCAGGAAAGCGTCTGGCCTCCAGGCCAAGAGATGGTTTACAGGAAAGCTACTGAGAAATACTAATTAAAACCCTATGACAGCAGTTAATTTTTTTCAGCGATAAAACAAAATAACTAAAATAGCATGTCCTTCTGGCTGTACGCCTGTCAGGTCACAGTCAGGGTGAACGAAACATATGTAGTTGTTACGTGTCAGCATTGACAAGCATCATGGCGACTGTCAACAAAAGTAGCTGTAGAATGTTGCACTTTAAAAGAGAAACAAATACGGTGTATATATAGTGATGAACTGTTGGATCAAAAAGCTCGGGAATTAATCGTTCCTATACAAATTCCGTCTATATGATTTGGGTATAGTGATCAGGTTATCCCCTTACAATGTTCATTTTGGATCTTTTCTTACATGTTTGGACCGTAAAAAAAGGAATTTGCTTTACAGTTTTATACTGGCTGTCAGTAATTTACTGCTCCTCTCTGTGTCTCAATCATTCACGCTGCATACTGCCAACCGAATCGAGCCAAGCCGAGCACGCCCCACCATCTTGTCTGGCTCTCCATGCATTTAAGTTTAAAAATTGTGATGCTTTTACCCAGTCTGAGTTTACAGATGGGTCTGATGACAACACAGTGTCTGTGTTGGTGTGTGTGTGTGTGTGTGTGAGGCCTGGGACAAATGTGACAAATCTTTCTTGGAAAAAAAAAGCCAGTGTATATTTTGAAGGGACACAATTGCAGTGCTGGAAAATGTCTCAGTGTCATTACAGCTGGAAACATGCACTGGATGAGTTGTAATGACAAAAGCTTTTGGATAAAGTTAACGCTCTTCTGTGGAGTTAGTGTGCTCAACAAGGAGCTTTTACAAGACCGCATTCTGACAGAGACAGTGTTACACAGGCGAGTGTTGTGGTGACCGAACAGCTAAGATGCTGTAACCTCAGTCAGAAGGAGAATTAGTGAAGGTTGTTGCTGCTGCAGAGCCGCTGGAACCAGAAAAAGTAGAACTGTTCCAAAGTGTCAGTTCCTCTCGAAGAACCATCACAGAGCAGATTACTGATATTACTGAAGATACTGAATAAAAAAACACCACAAACAATTTTTCAGTTTTTCTTTCGGACCATCAATAAAACAACAGGCCTAACAAATACAGCCCAACTACACTTTTTTTTAATGGGATCTCTGCTGAGTTTGGTACCACAGGGGAATCACTGTCCCAATTGGAAGATGGCAGGGAGCAAATCAGAGCTGGTGAAAGAGAGACTGAAATCAGGAGTTACAGGCATGGAAAGCAAAGTAATGAGCTAAGAGAGGCTATGAAGCATGATAGAGGTGAGACCAAAAGTATAGTTGTGTGACAGACCTCTTGCACGGATTAATATTGATTATGGCAGCTCACAGCAAGATTTGTAATCAGATAATTTCTAGAACAAGGCCTTCAGAGTGCAGTGTTTAACCTTTTCATGTGTGTGTCTGTTAGTTATCAGGATTACACATATACTGCTGGACCCATTCAATTGTGGTGTGGATCCTGATCAGGGGGCAGATTGAAGAACTTTATTGCAATTAATTGGATTTTTCAACATTTTAAACGATGATTCTTGGATCTAGATGAAATAAACCAGGCATGTTTAGGGGGCTGACATTTATGAGGGTGTGCAATTTGGTGCAGATCCAAAGAAAGATCTGGATCTCGAGAAATGAAACGTGGTTTCATAAGGAGACTGTTGGGTCTTGGTGTATGTATTTGCTGCATGAGTGTCATTCTAGTTAATTTCTGAACCTGATCTAAGATAATTAACATATAGTGTGTTTCCTGTCATGCAGTTGATGTTACCATGGTCACAATTTACCTTGGTAACCATGTGTGGGCACTATGTAAATTAACATTAAAAGGTCTTGTGTTAATTAACTCCTGTGTTAATTGATTCCTGACATAAATACAAGTATAAATATTTCCCACCTGTAATAGCCATGTAGCACTGAACAGGGAGTAGCACAACAAAGACAGTAGGTCCATCAAGTTGATATATTTTTACTGTATATTATCACTAAACAGTGACACTTGATGCACCACATCAAGTTGTTTCTGGTTCCTTTTAATGAACAGTTCAAAAGTCAAATATTTGCTGACTAATGTTCAGGTGAACTTAAACTCAAAACTTTTCTTCAAATCCAGCCCAGCCATCAGAACCTGCAGGGCAGAGGTACAGTATCAATCCTCTAACGACCATTAAGTGAATGCTACATGGTATCAAGGTCGCTGTCTGCCAGCTAATGCCCCTGCTGGAGCCACACAGCCCAGTCGTTTCATGATTAGCAAAGTTATCATATGGGAGGCAAAGACGCTGAACACGTTCCCTGGCTATTCATTGATGCTACCAGAGCTAACACAATTGCTAATCTAAGCAAGGCCTCAAGGACAGAATACTGATCAAATCAAATTGGACAATTCTCTGCTAACAAGGTTAGGGCTTGAATTGGGCAGGGGAACAGAGGGAGGGAAGAGAGAAAGATGGAGAGAGATAACACATTGGCAGGCGGGCAGACGGAGAATAAGAAAGAAAAGTGATTTAATTTAGCTGTCGTGTTGTTACAGCCCAACCACCAGGGGAAAGCCCTTTTCAATTTCTTTGTCTCTTTTGATCAAACTGTCAGTTTGAGTGGGACGGCGAGTTGCTGTGTGAGATGACAGGAGCTTAGGCACAGACAAACGATACCCCTGCTCCTGGGAGAGGGAAATGTACAAAAGTTGCTAAGTCACCGTGCCTCCTCCAGTTCTAATAACATGAGCCAAGGAATATATCTGAGTAGAACAGGTGGGATGTATAATAGTTTTCTCCTTCTCCCCTGCTGTCCATTCTGCATTCAGTCTACTCCCATGAGTGGAAATGTATCTGTGTGTATGCACCGTTCACTTAAACACGGTTGCTGATGCGTGCGGCTCACCAATGGCTGCAGCCGCAACAGATTTTGTTTACAGCATCCACAACCAGACTGCAGATGTATATAAAAAGAGTGTGTGTGTGAGAACCTGTGTTCTGCGGCCAGCTTGAAAAAACAAATGAATATTGGAAACCAATTTGCAGAGAATACAAACAGAAACCATGTTTTCCCTAACAATTTACTTCACCAATTACACATCAGCAAAAAAGACGCTTTTTTGCCTTTGACGAGTACTGCAATTGCAGGAGCCGGAAATCTTTTACCATGTACTGAAGCCTGGCTGGTCAGAGTAGACGCTTTGTACTTAGCTTTGCAGATATTGTTTTTTCTTTTTCTGCCGTAAAAAAATTGCACAGCAGCAGAGAGTTGGAGGAAATAAAGTGGAAAAACATTAAATGTCAAAGAATACCAAGAAAGGACATTGACAACCTGTCAGCATTGTTTCAAAGAAGTTTTACTTTATGCTTTGTACTTTCTGTGAGCCTGACAGAAAAATCAACTCAAACAAAAAATCTTAATTAGCTCATTGACATCCTGATTTTAGATTCTTTTGGGAGGTTTTTGCTTTCAAATTGACTTGAGGGGAACAAATATTTAAAGGGCACTGCTGCCTCTGGCTGCTCTCCCCGTTTTCCCTTTTGCTTTTGGGAGATACAACGTTTCTCCCCTCAGAGCAGGATAACACATGTGCAAATGCATTATGGGATGTAGTATGTTTTTTAGTAGTATGTTGTTTTTTTTATTAGCATCACCACCATCACGTAGGTTCGTGTTCATGGATCGTGACCGTGTTGGTGGATCGTGGATCATGATGGTGGATCATGTTTGTAATCGTTATCATGGATGGTGATTGTGGTGGCAGCTAATTGCATATTGTGGTGGTGGATCGTTATCTATACACGGCATCTGTTGCTCTTCTGTCTGTCCTTGGAGAGGGATCCCTCACATGTGGCTCTCTCTGAGGTTTCTTTTCTGGTAGCTTTTCCTTAATGTTGTTGAGGTTTGAGGGCAGAGAATGTTGCACCATGTTAAGCCCTATGAGAAAATTTGTGATTTGTGAACATGGGCAATGATAATGAAATTCGATTGATTGATTGATGGAGGTAGCGTTTCAGATGATGGCTGGCGCTTTAAGCGATGGGAGCCATATTAAAGCAGATTACAGGCTCCAAGGCTCAGGCAGTTAGAGACATGTTGGAGCAGGAAGAAGTTCATGAGCTTTAGGGGAAAGGCAGTCGTTAACAATAAAAGCTAATTGTATGAGCTTTTAGTGTTTTTATTTCATGTTTCTTTCTGCTTCAGATGCAGAGAACTAAACGTTTTTATAAACATTGGCAATTCTGTTGGTTTTCAAACATCAAATAGGTTTGCAGTGCGTTTCTGTTCTGTACCTTTGGTTTTAAGAGGTTAAATATTTTACTGTACTATGAGCACGTACCTTGTTGTGTTACATCCTCTAACCCCATGTTATTGTCCCTCTTCATCCACTGAACCGAGTCAGTAGATTTTGTTGACTGATAGTCCATACTTTTCTTACTGGTGTTAAGTGAACAGGACTGAGCTGGAAAAACATGACGCCTCATGCTTCCATGCTCCAATCGATCAAAATGTGGAGACATTTGTCAATCAAACGCACACAGACCAGATGGAGGTTACACTATCAATAAATATTCATTATTGGACATTTGCTCCTGTACTTTGGAAGAATTGACACCATGTTTTCAGGAGCTTGAGGTATCTGTGCGGCATCAGACACTGTACAACACCCAACTAATTTGGACTCAATACTCTTGAATCAGATGTGCCCTCGTAGTCAAGCTTGATAGATATCGACCCATTCAGTGAGAGGATTTTTGTGCAGAATACAAAGTGACTGTTCTACCTCCCCAGGAATAACAATTTGAATGAACTAAAATCAAATAATCAATCATTTTAATTATAGCTATGGACTCACCCTCAAGGTGGCAGTAACGAGTGACCTTCTCAGGCATTAACTGCCCTTCCTTGTGTCTGCAGTACACCTCGGCGATCTGTTGCCGACACTCCTTGCTCTTGGCTCTGGACAGAGCTGAAATGGCTTCCTTCCCACTGATCTCGCACCTGGGTGGCTGGTCGTAGGTCACCTCCAGCGGCGATGCAGTCGCCTGCCTCCAGTGGGGGTGCTGATGTCTGTGCTGCGACTGGGCCTGCTGGGCCTGTGAGGCACGGTGCTGTTGCCGCTGAACTTCCGCGACGCCCTGACCAACTAGGTAGGAGGAGTTGTTGCCTACCGCTAGTGGCTGGTGGCCGACGGGCAGTACTTCATTTGAGCTGCGGCTCAGCCCGGGGGAGTTGTCCCGCCAGGCCTGCTGCTGCGCATGGGCTTTCTCCTGCAGGTGCTCCCGCTGCTGCTTGCTGCTCGTGGCCCCAACAGACTGCCGGTGTGGCTGCGAGCGAGCACCAAAGTTACTATTGTCTATGTTGTCAAAGTCTTTTGGCACAGAGTTCTCGTTGTTGCTGTCGACTCTACTTTTCTCCTTCGGCCGGTGGGAGTAATATCCATCCTGGTATGAAGAGAAAGAAGAAGGGGAGAAAGACAAGGGATGCATTGGGAGGGGGAGAGAGAAAGGAGTCAGAGGGGGGACACAAACAACAAAAACAAGATCAGAAATGAGTGAGCGTGGTGCATATCAAATGTCGGATTAACAATCAATGGAGCATGTTTGAGTGGTCAGCGCTGTGTTGGACCGTGAGGCATGAAATTAAGTAGCAAGCTACCGAGTGTGAGGACTACAAGGTGCAACTTAACAGGAGGTGATGCAGGGGCTGAGGGCTTCACTGCGATCAGATTAGCCCCCGTTTCAATTAAATTCTCCCTCAAATGGGCCCAGCACTCCGTAAACAGATTACCAAGGAGGGATAAAGGGACAAAATTTGACTGTGAGTTTGTGAGGTTGTTAAGTGTGTTTATGTATGTCTGTGTGTGTGTGTGTGTGTGTGTGTGTGTGTGTGTCTGTGTCTGTGTGTGTGTGTGTGTGTGTGTGTGTGTGTGTGTGCATTCCTTTTTTACTGGTGCCACGAGAGAAATGTGAAGAAATCGTCGTGGTGTGGCGTGTGACTGGAAAGGCTGCACTTGTCAGCGTTGTGTGTCTGCATATATGAGATAGTGTGTGCGAACGTCTGAATGTACAATTTCCCTATCTTTCCAGCAGAATGGGCTAAAAGCGAAGGAGCGGAACAGGGGCTGGCAGAAAAGAGGAGGGGAAAAAAAGGGCGCTGAGCTAAAGTGGGGGAGTGCATGGCAAAGGAGCGCTGACACGAGACATGAGTTCTGCTCCCAGGAAGCGCTGGCATGTTCCGGAGAGATGTGCCACAATGCATCAAACGGAAAAGTAAGGTAGATTCCCGGCCGCCACAACTTGCTAGACACAAACGGCAGCCGGAGAAAGATAGAGCTCATTACAGGGATCCCTGATGTGTTTGTCCATTTACGAGACACAGAAAAAGTGGAGAGAAAAGAGAGCAAGAGATAGGGGGTGGGTGCTAAATGCAATATGAGGCATGTGACACAGACCAGCAGGAGATAGAGGAGACACAGGGTGAGATGTGCCTGTGAGCCAGGTTCTCTGCATGGAAATGTTTTTCCAACCCCTAAAGCCAGGTCTGTTATCAGCCCATCAACCGTCTTTCTCTCTGCAAACACCTTGTACCAGCACAATTACACAAAGGTGGCTGGATGACACATTTTCACACACTGAAAAAACAGGGAGGTGGTAAAGGAGAAACAATAAAAACTGGATGAAGAACAAGGAGAACAACATTCTAATGTCAGCTCATTTTTTAAGCTTGCTTGGGAGAGGGTTTTTATTTTTTATTTTTTTTGAGTGTATACCTTTTTTCCCCTCTCCTCCTCCTCTCTCCTCCTCCTCTCCCCTCCCCTCTCCCCTCCTCTCTTATCCTCTCCTCTCCTGACTTTTCTTGACTCTTTGCCTCCACTTTCCTTCACACTTCTCTTCACACATCCCGATTCCACCCCTCTGCTCCGCTCCTTTCACCTCTCATCCCTTCTGCTCCACATCCTGTTCCCCTTCTCTCATCGCCTGTTCCGCAATTCTCGTCTCTCGCACCTTCTTTTCTCCCCTCTCTCTCTTTTTCCCCTTCATTCTTGGCTTCATCTCAGCTCCTGCCTGTCATAACCCCATCTCACGTCCTCCCCTGCCCTCCTTGCCTTTCTCTACTTTCTTCAGCGAGCCAGTTTAAACAGACCGTGTTGTCTGAATGGCAGAACCTGCTAATCCTGCGTGTAACAGCTGCTTAGGGCAGTGATCACCTAAAAAGAAATCTCCACTTGCCGACTTTCAAAGGGAATGCTTTAGGAGGCTAATCCATGCAGTGCAAGTCGCTGGATGTTTGCAGAGGTGAAATGAGTCTGTGTGCATTCACGATTATGTGTGTACAGTGCATGCTTCTCGTGGATTTTCACTTGAGTGTATGTGTTTAAGGGGGAGAGAGAGAGACAGTGAGTAAGGTAGAGGTGCCATGTGTTTGCCCTGGTGAAATGGATACTCCCACTTTGAGTCCCACGGCAAGAGACATGAGAAGATAAGGGAGAGACAACTAAACTGGAAAAATGTCAAAGCAAGCAAATATAATACCACAATTATTTTATCACAGAGCTTTTTGATGAGTGATAAATCATTTATGTCTTTTTCAGACTATTTTTTGACAATTACCAAATATTTATTGGTTCCTGTTCCTCTTTTTTGGTCTTTTATCATATTAAGATAAATACTAGGTTTTGATTTTGCTGCTGGTCGGATGTAACATTTAAATATTTGTAAACTTAGGCTACTGTATATTGCAGTGCTATTTCTAATATTAAATTACAAGGAACAGGAAGACTCAAAGAAATAAGTAAACTCTAGCTCTCTGCACATTCTCTTATCACTGCTTTCTCACTAACTATTAAAATTTAAATGTGCGAAAAACGTCTTTACGACCAGAGGCATATCTCTCTGTACTGTATAGCAAAGCATATGGGTTACCATTGGGCTATACAGCTAATATACAGCTCATTATTATGCCATAGTCTTGAGTTTGTGCAGTTTGGTGCATATCCAAATAAAAATCGATCTAATGGATTTAAATGTGGTTTCAGAAGGAGAATGTTGGAGGTATCCACTCAACTGAGTGACAATCTACTTTGATATTTAATGATGAGAGTTAGATGATGAGGGTCTAGAAAGACTGTAACCTGGGTACATGTAGCTTTGCTCTGCCCAAACATAACAATATCTAACTGACTAATTGATCATCTCATCATTGTAGAGTGACCTGACTGCATTTAGAATCACCTATTCAAATGCATCCCAGCGGGTCGTAATTGTTTTATTTAGGGGAGGAAAAGAGAAGCAAAAAGCATCACGAAGATGTTGATTTGCTTTAAATGAATTGATAAGAATCAGAGGAGGTTAGCCCCATGTGGCCCTGGAGTGGAAATGAGTAGTATGAGTAGTATTTGCGGTGAGGAGATTTTTCTCTGGATTAACAATCTTGTGCCCCCTTCTTCCCTCCCACTCCTCCCCCTCCTCCCGTGAGCAAAGGACTCCAGTGGCCGTGTTGCTCTTTAATCTTGGGGACCAGGCCCTAAAGCAGGAAGTGGGGGGGCACAGAATTAATAGTAGGGGCAGCAACTGGAGATAGGGCCTGCATGCGTACTGGACTGCAGACGCAGGTGGAAGCTGGGGGTAGCTATCGATTGTTGCAGGGGATATGTTTTCTACTCTCTGGGAGTGCTTGGGAGGCCAAACCAGGATTGCCTGGCATGTGTTGTGCTGGCTGCACACACACACACACACACACACACACACACACACACACACACACTAGTCTCTCCGAGCACTGCTGTGAGGTGAGAAAAAGGCAGAGGTACGTGCTAATATCATCCATCACTGGTAGGTACATATAGAGGGAAAGAAAGGCCTGTAGGGCTGGGAGTTTCAGCACCCCCACCAGCCCCCTATTGGGAATGGTTCAGTCCATTTCTCAACACAGAGCTGGCCCTTTCCACTTTCCCTCATTTCCTCTGCCACAGGGGGAAATATTTCACCTGTCCTTTTCCTCTCCCCTTCTCCCGATCTCCTGTGCACCAGAGAGATAGAGAGGGAGAGAGAGAGAGAGAGAGAGAGAGAGGAAAAGAGAGAGAAAGGGCCACATATCTCTCTCTCAGCACATGTCCAGCTTCGACTTACTCCTCCTCCACCTCCTCCCCCCCGACCCACGCATCATCCCTCGTTCTAGGAAGGAAAGCAGTTCATCTACTCTGCCCCCTCACCTCCTCCCTGATGCCATCATTTACCGTTGCTGGGCGAGGGAGTGCAAGGTAGCAGCACATATCAGTTTCACCCCATCCTCTCGGCACCCTTGCTTTAAAAGACATCATTCCTATGGGGAGGCGAGCTGAGATAAGCTACTGCGTGTGTCAGCAGTGCGTACGAGTGTAACGGCTCTCCAAATCCACAGATTGGTTCAAATTCTTTTTTTCTCTCTCCATCATGAGCTCATTAAACCAGCCTAACTTTTACTACAGCCGTGATCGTGATTGTCATGCAACACACAAAGCTACAAACAATCAAATAACTGTAGTGTGGAATATTTATGAAGTTTCTACTTTGCCCTCTTTTTAATTAGAATACAGATTTTGTGTAACTGCGATAATTGTGAATTATTATTCTTTTAAAAAAAATCAATACTGTTGTGCACCTGCAGTCGTAAATTGCGGTGTCTTGGTTCAGTCTTCTTTAAATATAAGGTTGTGGCTGTATTGGGTTTTTGGTCTCGGTTTCAGAATCATCACACCACTTCGCATCACATAAACTGTTGCATGCAGACCACACTACAATGTACATAAACAAATAGGCAAGAGCAGACCGTCCACTCACTGGGAGAGTAGCAGGCTGTTGGGTAACTTCAGCAGTGCGTGGGGCAGCTTCCGCTACGACCTGCCCGCCATGTGGCTAACAAGCTCAGATTAATTACCTGGATTGAATCCCTGTGTTACTCTGAGCAAGACGTGGCATCTGGCATCATGACACGGGAGACTGATACGCTGACAGACTTTAGTTCACAGCTGCTCTGGCACCCCAGGACACAGCATAGGAGAGATGAGCCGGGGTAGAGCGGGGTTGACCTAAATGCTTAGTGACGTCTTAGAAAGTCTTACTTATCGTAGCTTATCAGCTGCAAGTTTGGGGGCGAGAACAGCTGTTCCTTTCTATGTCTGTAGATTCACGGTTTAGGTATCAAAGCCCAGAGTTTTTCAAAGGATCTAAAGTGTTGAAACTGACAATGAGAAAGAATCATGCTGGAAACAGGGTAAAGACATATATAGATGAGTCATGGAGAGTTTTTTTTCATCCTTCAGTCAATTGGATTTCATAAAAGTTATTATGCTTGGTTCCACTATCTGGGGGTTTCATTGTATTTTGTCCTCTAGTTATTTCCTTTGTCGCTGCAACCTCTCTTTCTTTTCCTCCTTACAGCCAATCCCTTCAATGTTCAATCG